ATCAAGATCACGGGAGGATTAATTAATAATACCCTGACTTTATGTGAATAAGCGGAAACGAAGTTTCCGCTAATTCCTAACGGACCAGGATATTATTATTACTAATACTGCTAAGGTGTTTCATTTGTGTTATTTTTGATCGTGAATATAAACCATTTGTGCAATGAAATTGTAAAAATATATACTTTTAAAATTTTTATTTCATTTAATTTATAATGGACGCCCCTAAAATACATTTATAATCTATGAATCTGCTTAAACATATGTCAAATGTAAAATCACGAAAAAAATGTCTAAAAACAATAAAGATATTTCTATAAACACCTATTAAATTATTTCATTGTTAGAATAGGTTATTAAATAATTGTGCTATAAGCATGATAACCACCGTGGAAATTAAGCTGATGTAACTCGTTATTGAAGCAGTCGACGATTTATGTGTACCACTCGGACTGTTTGTACCACTAGGAGTAGGACTGCTACTATTACCTATGTACTCAGCAAATGATGGATAGGTGATATTTGTTTCGGCATATGGATGAGTCATATTTAAACAAGAGGCGGCAGGAACAACATGTTTAAAGGCACCCTTTATTGACGAGTACCATTGCTGAGCCTTCGACATAGTTGCATTATTTAATTCATGTTGCAGAGCAATCGCTCCATGATTAGAGAAGCTACCATTTTGACCCATTTTGACAAAGTCTTCAAAAATGGCATCAACTTCTGCCGATGTCTTTGGGCCCATAGGTTGCATTTGCCAATCATTAGAGTCTGTAAATGTCATCATTGGTGTTAGATTAAAGTGACCTTTACACTGTTTAACAACCAAATATTCACGTACCAAGATTCCAGATAATAGTTGCCAAGTTGAGTTGCTGAGCAATCGCACGAATTCGATTATCAGCGTCACCAAAAGGCTGTTAAAAGAGATAAATGATGTAAGTCTAGTTTTAATCGACTATTTTATATCTTGAAAATGATGCTTACGGGACGCCAGGAAAGAGGCGTTACGCCAACAATTTCATGAATAACCTTTTTAGTGTAGTATAATTCAGCGAGCACTTGATCATTAGTAAGAGTAGTCATGTAGGGGTGAGACCATGTATGAACACTAATATGATGATTATCAGCGAAAGCACGCTTAGCTTCGTAGGGCCAATCAGCAACATTTGATCCAATAAAAAACATAGATGCCTTTTGTTTGTTTTGAGAAAGGAAGTCATAAAATGCATTATGCGAGCAGTTTGGACCATCATCGTATGTTAAGCCCCAGGTTCCTTTGGAGAACGTTTAGTC